ACCACGGTACAAGGTCTGCTCTATCCTCCACTGTTGGAGACAGATGTTGCCATATAATGAGGGAGTTTTAGATCAGTCTCTCCAGTGCCCCAATTTCCACTACTCTTTCAAATTACCAGTTAGAAAAATACCCAGCTCTGACATAATCAACAAACTAGAACTATGATTGAGATAGCTGCCAACGTACATCTTTCCAACAAAATTAGTATACATGGTGTCGGATATGAATTGCATTTGAAGACTCCCATTGCATCTTACAATCTCAGCCCTCCACATTTAACCTATCAACAATATCATATTATACTTAAATCAACCAATGATGTAGTTCCTGCCATTCTCCACGATAGTTTCAGTCAAATCTTCCTTTTTGGGGGTTTAATCATATGTCCTCTCTCAAACGAACCAACCATTATTGTAGAGAGGTCAAAGTGGCAAGTTCACCGAGGTGAATTTGCTGACGTACATCACTACGAAAATGCCCAGCTTTTCGGGAGGGCTTGCGTTGAAAAGGTCCACCGGCATCCGTTTTGCGAGAGGATCACTCACGTTGAAGTTAGTGAAATAAAAAAGAGAAAGGTGTGTTGTGGGACATTATCCAAATGAACAATGATTATAGGCATTTGACTGAGCTAAAATTATGGTGTGGATCTGTTTGACCCATGACTCTGCAATCTCTGTGGATAAAGTCTCAATATGGCTGCATGCTTTTTTCTTCACTTAACTCCGAGGCCCTCGAAACTTTTCAAAATATTCAACCTGGGGATTGCATCAGCTTTGCAGGTGTGGCGGCAAAAGTGCCAAGTGCCTTGAGTGGATTGCTAACCATTGGTGTAAGTGTCCTTCTCCATTTGAAAATTCACGATATAAATCAGACAGTAATGGTGTGGTTGATTTGTGGTCATATCAGGTTGAGTGTGTAACAAAACTTGATCGATCTGAAAGAACCGAATACGGCTTGAGGCCAAATCCGAAAAAGAGGTTCGAACTGAAAGTGAAGGACTGGAACAAGCACCGAGCCACCAAAAGACGTACCCCCAAAAAATTGTATCACAAAAGAAAATAAAAACTTCATTCCGTTTTATTTACACTACACAAGACCACATAC